CATACAATTTTTGCTTTAGTAAAATTTAAGATATCTCCAGCATTGTTCTCTCTACTTAGCTTTGCGTTGACTCTCTGTAGTCTTTGGTCTTTCCACATACATTTTATGATAGTTTTTCCCTATTTCTTTGAAGAAAGTCTTTGGAATTTTTATGAGGATTGTACTTAACCTGTGGATTTCTTCCAGTAATAGTTATTCTCATTATATTCATTATATTGACCTATGAAAATGGGTGTTTGCATCTTATAATATTTTAAATTACTCTCTTCAAAGTTTTAAATTTTCCATTTAATGTCCTTCACTTCCTTGGTTAGGTTTATTTCTTTGTATTATATTTTATCTGAAGCTGTTGTAAATAGGATCATATTCCTGATTTTTTTTCTTATGATGTTCAATATTGGGATATAGAAAGACTGCTGATTTTTGTTTGCTGATTTTATATCCTGCTACTTTACTGAAGGTGTTTGTCATTTCTAAGGGTTTTATGGTAGTCTTCAGGTTCTCTTCTATACTCAACCATATTATCTGCAAACAGGGACACAAAACTCGTCCTTTGTGATTTGTAGTCCTCTTTCCTGCTTGATAGCTTGTTTCTCTCTCTCTCTCTCTCTCTCTCTCTCTCTCTCTCTCTCTCTCTCTCTCTCTCTCTTTCTTTCTTTCTATGCTTTCCTTTATCCCTCCATTCCTTCCTTCATTCCTTTCCTTCTTTCTTTATTTTTTTATCTTACCACTTGATCTAAGATTTAAGTACTATATAGAATCAGAGTAGAGAGAATACACACCCTTTTTTCATTTGTCATTTTAATTTACATGCTTTAAGTTTATACCATTTAGGAAGGTATATTTGTTGTATTTATTATGCCTAGATATGTTCCTTCTATTCTTGGTTTCTTCAGAGAGTTTTTTGTATGTGTGTGTGAAATCATGTTGTATCTTGTTAAAGACCTTTTCTGCATCTATTGAGATAATGTGTGATTTTTTAATCCTTGAATTATTTTTTTTTTTTTTTTTTTTTTTTTTTTTTTTTTGGTTTTTCGAGACAGGGTTTCTCTGTGTAGCTTTGCGCCTTTCCTGGTACTCGCTTTGGAGACCAGGCTGGCCTCGAACTCACAGAGATCCGCCTGCCTCTGCCTCCCGAGTGCTGGGATTAAAGGCGTGCGCCACCACCGCCCGGCTTAATCCTTGAATTATTAATGTGATATATTACATTTACTTTTTTCTGTTTATTGAACCTACATTGTGTTTCTAGAATGAAGCCTACTGGGTCATGGTGAATGAATGAGGTTTAGATGATCTTGGCTTAAAAATATTTTATTGAGAATTTTTAAAGCCATGAACATCAGAGGAATTGGTCTGTAAATTTTTATTTTTGTGTCATTATCTGTTTTTATATGAATGTAATGCGACTCTGTCAGCATTCTTTTCTTTTTTTTTTTGTTTCTTGGAATAGTCTGAGGGAAATTGGACCACACCTAAGTTATTCATACCTCTTGCCTTCTGTTTAAACCTTATCCTCATGTTGAGAAAAGACTTGTGGTATCATTTTATGGCTTCATCACTCCTCCAAATGTAGTCACATTGAGTAAATTTCTCTTTCTACTTTTACTATTAATTTGGCTCTTTTAATTGGCTTATTGAAGACATGTGGGCAAACATGGCTTTCTGGGGACTAACCTTTGACCCTCAATAAAGTAAGATATATATACGTGTATGTGTGTATATTGTGAACATAAATTCTAAATGTATAGTGTCAAAATGGCAGAGAGCTACTGGATTTTATTTCAATATAAAGTATTATAAAATATTTACAAAAGGTGATTTTAACATACATAGTGAAGTATCCTTCCAGTGAAAATAAAAAAAATTTAAATAATTATACTAGCACTGATTTCAGAATATGTTAGAAAGGGCAGAGAACATTGTGTTTTTGTGGGGTCCTTTAGATGAGTGTTTGAGTGTCTTTAAATGCATACAGGTAGGAAGAAACAATATATTATAGGTAGTAAATATGACTTGGTAAGTTAAGGATATAAGGCTTTAGTTTTAGTATCTAGCAAATAAAAACAATTCTACATCTCGTAAAATGAGTAAAGGAAAAAGAAATAGACAATACTTGCTCTATCCTATATTAATTACTAAGAAATAGCAATGGAACGTTGCTTTATTTCTTACATTAAAAGCTTTTTTGATAGGTTGACAATAACTACACCCTTACACAGATATTAATTTTTGTAAGAGATATAGGTCAACAGCAAGTTGTGTAATAAATTCATCGATGCTAATAAGTTGGTTTAATTTTGAGTGATTATGTCCTTTTAGAATGCTAGACAGGATCTTCTGGGATTTGGGGGTGGCAAGAGGTAAAGATGGATGAGCAAACAGTCATAGATTTTCCCTGTCTAGCATCAGACAGCTCATCAAAACTGCTCAGCTACAATCCGTGCACGTTGGTTCTGGTGCTGGATTGGCACAGACATATACCAGTGTCTGTGTTTCTTGTTAGCATTCCTGGGATGCTGAGTTTGTTAATATTCCACTCACATAAAGAAGCCTGTCTTTTCAAAGGCTTTTCAGCACAACACATCAACACATTTTTTTTTTTTTACTTCAAATTATTTCTATTTTCTGCTGAACCTTGCTGAGGAAATTGACATTCTGTGCTATCCAACCAGTGACTCGTTCACACATTTTGTTTTGTCCACAGTGGTTCAGTGCCTCTTGCCATCCTACTAACTAGCATAGTTATTATTCTGGCTTACATTCGTATTGGACGATTAATGCCTGCTCCCCTGCATCTGCAGAGAAACACAAGTATTTGCCAAATCCCTTTAATAACCAAATTGCTGATCATAAAGAAGAAACACAAATATTAAGACAATATTTGTCTCTCAGCAGTGAAGGACTTTAATATTATGTTGCTGCTAGGCAAAGACGGCTCAGGGAGCCAGTTAGAAGTAAAAAGCAGATTTTTTTTTTTTTGAATCTTGTTTATTAAAAAGTAAAGTATCTCTGAGAACATATATATGATGGTTTTGTATTTTGTACATTAGTTTTAGCTTCTCACTTTTAATGTCTTGTTATGTTTACCTAATGAAGCTGCATAATAATTAAGTAAAACTTACAGTTCTTTGAAACCCTCAGTAAAAAGAATACTATTAAATGATGCTATTATTTTGCACGACAGAATAAAATATCATTATTTTGATGTTAGGAATATATTTTAAAGCATATATGCTTTGCTTAGAGAGTCATAGTCAACATAAACTTTCCTTAATCCTTATATTGTGAAAATAGCTTTATCTTAGTCTTTAGTAGGACAATTGTTTTTTAAATGAATTTGAGCTTTTCAAATCAAGACATTGTGGTTCTTTTCATTGTCCAAAAGCAAGAAGAGCCCACTTCCTCCGCTTATGTTCTCATCCTTGCCAGTATTCCTTTTCTTTCTCAACACTAGCAAGAATTTGGCATGTAGCAACCAGTAGTGACTTTCTATGCAAACCACAATTTTTATCAGTGTAATTCCTTTTTCTTTCCTTTCTTATTCACTGAATTCAAGTGATTGTAGATCCTTTTGTTAGGATATAACCTAGTGCGTAGTCACAGTGCTACATTTTTCAAGTAAATCTAAAATTTAAACAAACATTACCATTAGTGTGTCACAAGTGAGTAATAAGGGCTATACTTTATCATAGAGGACATTTTCAGGCATTCTTTCTTTTAAGAATAATAATAACATGTTAGTGCCAGAGCAAGAAAATTTGCTCATCTACTACATCTTTCCAAAAAGTATAAACAAGTAAATAATAAATAAATAAATCGCCTCACCAGAAACAAAAGTCTAGATCTCCAATTATCTCTTGATTTGCCTTAGCTGTATACTGAGTATAGACATTCTCCCATAGAGGTGTGTTCATATTTGATTTACTTTTATGATAATCTTGAGGAAGGGGGAATAATATATTGCTTCTTCTAACTAGAGCCTTGAGCACATAGAAGAAACTCAATAATGCAATTGATCAAACAAACAGAAAGACTTATTACCTTCATTTAGTTGTATTAGTGAGACAATAGAGCATATCTTACCATGTGCCGTGTTCAGTCATTTTGGGAAACAATGCCATTCAAAGCCATTTTATTTGAACAGTGCACAGTATATCAGCCTTGTTTTATCCCCTGGATTTTTATCTGATTGCTTTCCCCCAGGTAAGTGAGTTGACACAGTATCTCCCTTATCTGGCATTAGCTGCTGTTTGCCAATGCAGACAGGTATGCACTGCAGTTAAGAGGATGGCCTCACTTAACATTCACATCCTTCCTTTCCAAACAAAGGAAAACATTTTTTTTCCTGAAGGAGTCCCTGTGGTCTCACAGTTCCAGGCTGAAGGAGTGCACATTTCATTCCAATAACACACAGCCACCCACAGTGCCAAAGGCAAAATTCATCTAACAACTTAAGAATCAACCTCAGTTGGTCACAATATAACAATATAGATATAAAAACTGGACAATTCAAGATGCAACCAATGTAACTTGAAGGTATCTCCTCCTGTTTCTAACATTCAAATGATGATGAGAGATGAAAAATTAACAGAAAGTTTCCCATTGAAGAAGGAATATACAGGTGAGAGTCAATCGGATTTCCATACAGATTAATGTTATGTTAGGTCAGTGTTTGTCTGTTACTCTATTTTTTATCATGGATTTATATTTTTAATGCTCTGGTCCAAAGTAAAAGTGTGATTTATTGTTATACCTCTCCTGGGAGCTTATTATCCAATCAACCAGGTTTCAGTTTCTTTTAGATGCTTTTAAAACTCTGCTTCTTGCCTTATAATAGGTTTTTGTTGATTTAAAAGATGATTCACCAATTGAGTTCCTAACAGAGACCTAGGATAAATGTTCTGCATTAAATTTATATGATTGTATTTTATTATCCACTGGCATGAACTCTGGTTTCAGTTGACAGCATACCTTTTTTTTTTTTTTGTCACTGACTTCAGTCTGCAAGAGCAGCCAGTAAAGAGAAGGGCAGAGCCACAGAGCCTGTAGACTTCAGAAGCCAGTAAAGAGAAGGGCAGAGCCACAGAGCCTGTAGACTTCAGAAGAAAACGGAAGTTGACAAAAAGAGTGTGAGTAGCCAGGGACACTTCATTTCTAAAGTTGTGTTTCCAACTATTCCCTATTACACTTCTTTCTTGATATCCAATGTGCTTTAGAGGAGGAAGGCTTTCATTATTAATCTGTTTAGACTAGAACCTCCCAAACTCATTTACTACTTCCTTTCCACCACACACTTAGTAATACACAAATTTTATAGTGCACACACTTATATTTCTGGGAAATATTCCCGAAGTGAAGGATGGTCAGGAGGAAACCAGCCCAAAATCTGGGAGACTGCTGCCACATGCCACAGCTTGCAGCACAGGGCTCAGGCTTGTGAAGAACTGTATGACAGGACACTCTAATCCAAACGGAATAAGACGTAACTATCTGTTCAGACTACATTGTCTGGATTCTCACTTATGCTTGTGTGGGAGAAAGGAACAAAAGGGTGGAAGTCTGCTGCAAAAATTTGTCTCTATTAGTTCAGGAGGAGTAATTTACTGTTCAGACAACTGTCTGAGTTTTGATCCGTCTTCATTTATAACAAGAGAAAGCAAGAGAGAAACAGCTCTAAAATTTCAGACTGCTCCCAAAATTATGAAGCATCTGGAAGACTATACTCGTGCTGCTGTGTCCCCTCCCATTTGGAAATAGAACAACATATGAAGAGTACAGGAACTTCACGATCAGGCTGTTTGTGTTCAATTCTGGATGAGGTTTTATTAAGATAATCTCTCTCAAAGTGTCCTAAGGATATATTACATTCTGTAAATCAACTATCCTATCATTCAGTGATAATTTTTGTCTCTACCCATAAAAAAGATTTTGTGCATGTGTTTTCTTGAATATTTGGCACGTACTTAAACCTTACAGTGTCCTGGTAAGGTCAGTTTAATTCCTCTATCCATTCCACAGAGAAGAAAGCTGATATGCATTAGGATGTTACAAAACCATAGCAAGAAGAGGTGGAGTGTTTGAGAGTCGAGTCTGCATCTTCGTGCACACTTAGCACCATGATCTTTGGCCTAAGTGACACTGTTGGAGAAGGGTGCTACTCTGTGTGTTTTCTGTATGATCCCAACCTCTAATAGTAACACATTGACAAGGAAGTTGAAACCTGATGGCCCTAAGCCCCTATCTATTTTCTCTGGAACTCCAATCTCTACTGGAGACCTTTTGTGGTCTAAGATCTTAACGTATCACCCAGATCACCCTTCCTCATCAGCAGTTCTTGATGCTCTCCACTCTGTAGAATGGATCTTTCTCAGAGTTATTGAGGTAATGTGAGCCAACAGCATGTCTGTTCACTGAGTTCAGTCCTGTGAACTCCTGAACTGGCCAATGTGACCATTTCCTTTCCTGTATAACAGTGGGTGAGTCTAGATGACAATCTGTGGTGTCCTTCTGAACTTTTCTAATGAGAGTGCTGACTCCTCCGTGATTCTCAAGATTTGTTGCCAAATCCAGCTTACAGTATAATCCCTTCCCTTTGATGTTTTCTCTTAGAAGCTCTAGCATTTCCCTTTTTCTCTTTTCTCTGACATATCTGAACATTGCATCTCAGCACTGGTGAAATAGAGGTCAACGTTACCTTCATCTGGGAAGAGTTCCTCAAGTCCCCAGTGAATTAAATCCTCAGATTACTATCTGTAGGCAAATATCTCAAGCAATTTGTCATACACTACTGAATTCTTTCCAGGCCAGGACTTTGGTACACAAATGTACTAAATTTCAAAGTAGAACGCTCGTGTTGGTTTGTATTCTCCAATTCTTAATTTTTTTAAAGTGTCCAAACCAGCTGTTAAACTACCGACAGCTAGAAATAAACTGTGGTGGGAATATGCACAAGATGGGAATGAAGGCTTCCTGTAAGCCCCATTTCAGCCCACAGGAATTCTCGCTAACCCTTCCCTATGCACGTCTGTGCCCCCCCCCCTTTTTTTGGTTGAGTCCCGAAGGATGTGGAGGAGGGGCAATCACTGAAGGCTTTGCTTGAAATAAGGAAGGATTCACCTTCTGTTAACCCAGGCACTGACACTCCCTGTTCACTGTTCTCTTCTGTCAACTCATTCCTTCTTCTAGATTAAAAATAAATGCAAGAGAATGCCTTATGTTTCATTTTACAGGCAAGTTAGCAAACAACAACAACAAAAAAAATAGAGAAGTACCTGAAATCAAGAGCATTTTATATTGCCATAGTGATTTTGGAGGGTAAATCTTTACAAGCTTGTCCCCTATGTTATGTAAAAGAAATTGGGAGGCCTGAGTGACTTATTTTAGCTCTGCTAGAGTTCAGTTTTGGAGCAATGTTTTTCAGTCCTGTTGCATATTTCAATTAGTTGAGTATCTTTCAAATATTCCTTTGCCAGTCCCCTTCCCAGATCAATTCAGATTTCAGAGGCAGGCTACCACTATAACTTAGATCTGAGATGTTTCTCAGAGCTCAGATGCTTGTTTTGCTCTGGCCTATGGTGCTGTAGGGAGGTAGAAATATCTTTAAAAGGTGCATCTGACTAAAAGGCAAGTAAGTCACCAGGGTGTGTCCTTGAAGTGGATGTTGTGGCCCTAGCTCCTGGCTTTCTCTTTTTTGCTTCCCAGATGCACAAAATGGGCAGGCCTCGGTTACATATTCCCACCATGAGGTAGTGTGTGCTGGTACAGGCCCAAAAGAACAGGCCAAATGACTGCTACAGAACCTCTGAATCCACAGGCCAAGATGAACCCTTACTGTTCCTAATGAGACTGTTATAAACTTATTTTATCAGTAATGAAAAACTAAGATAGTCACTGGCTAATATATATATATATATATATATATATATATATATATATATATATATATATATATATATATATATATATATATAGTTTTCCAGGTAATAATACTATGTCCTCAGATCTAGCAGCCACTGTATAGTTTGTATTTTCCCACATGATTAAATAATGATCCATGTGTAAGTTAAGACAGGACAACGTTAATTTTCTGAAGGGTTGTTACATTTTGGAGGCAACCCACTGCAAGATAAAGTACTTCATATTTTATTTTTATTGTTTTTTAAGATTTAAAAATTCTTTTGAAATATTTATATATATATATATGGGTATTTTGCCTGCATGTCTGTCTATGCATCACATGTGTGCAGTGCCTAATGCGGCCAGAAGAGGGCAGCAAATTTTCTGGAATCCCAGGAGACTGTCAGCTGCCATGTGCATTCTGGGAATCAAACCCTGGTCCTCTGAAAGCATTCTCTCCAGCTCCTGGTTTGGGATATTTTAACAATGTACTATTTTCTAGTTTATCGTAAAGATATAGTAAAGACATTCGTGTGACAACATGGCTCATTTGGTAATGCGCTCGCTGAACAAGCTTGAGGATCTGAGGCCAGATTCCTATCGCCAAGGTGAGTGCAAGCAAACACAAAGAATTGGAAAGGCAGAGATGGGAGGATTCCTGAAGCTCATTGGTCAATTGTCTTTGTGCGCTGATGGGTCACTGAGAAAGTGTGCAGTTGTAGTTTGAATGTGCCAAATTATGACACAAAAGTAGTGGATTTTAAAATGAAAAGAGTGAGAACCTAGAAAAACATTAGAAACCTCGACCAGATCACAAATGTTGAAATGCAAGGCAGCTTTGGCAGTGTATCACATCTGTTCAAAGAGCCACAAGCTCAATTAAATTCATACTGGTAGGAAAGCATCCTGGCTTTCTAAACACAGCAACTTAATCGTTCACTTAAGATCTTAATGCTCCCTTCAAACACTTGCCCAGTCTTTTCCTCTTCATGAACTTACTCTAGACCTGACCCTTATTTCCGTTTTTCCTCCCTCTGAATTGTGGGAAAACCAATTAATAGGCAAGAAAGAGTGTTCTCACAATAATACTTCATTTTAAAAGCAAATGCACTTCAGCTCAATTACCACGTTCGTTTCATTCATACAATAGGGGTTAAAGTCAATTTACCTTCACAGTTTCTTAGACGAAGTGAATTTTTTATTAAGAAATTACAAAAATCACATTAAAATTAAGTCATAAGGGACTAGAGTACAGAAAGCGATTTCTTGAAACGCCATGAAAGTAATTTTAGGTTTTATAGAATTTGACTTTCAACATACTCATGAAAAATCAGAATAAACATAAATGATGCAGGCTGGAAATAACACCTAGCGCTCTGGTATTTGCAGGTTTCTTTCAGTTAAGGGATAATTAGGACTTCTCACCAGTGTTATTTGGTAAGGATGACCATGGGGTGACAATTACATATCTCTAAGTGTTTGTTCTTTGAGAGGGACAAAGAAATGTCCATGTCTGAGTAATGGTTGAGAGGACTTTGAAATGATCTTAAAAAGCATGGTTCTGTTGCTACAGGATGGCATGGCAACACACCTGCAGGTGTGTTCTCTCTGAGACTCTATCCAGGAAATCGGTGAGCAATGTATTAATTAAAAGATAACACATGATCAAATGATGAATAAAGGTCGATTTCAACTCACAAGCAGCTATGTATACAGCTTGTGAATGAACACACCTGTGAAGTAATCTCCCCAAATCCCAGAGTTCTATAGCAAATTTACCAGAGCTGTGATTGGCCTGTTTTCATTAACTTAATGAAATTAGGCAGCCCATAGTTGTTTGTTTGCTTAATTTTACTCAACAGTTTGTTTTCAGATGCTTCTAAGTTGATACTATCAGTAAGTTTTATTTTTGATGCTGCATAGTCCTCTGTTGGAGGAATAGATTGCATATTTATTTATTTCTCCTATTTGTAAGCATTAGGGTTCCTTCAATATTTTGTTTCTTTTGTTTAGGCTGTTTATTTATTGGAGAATCTCAATATACAGCTCTGGCTGGCTTTTAACTCAGCCTGTATATCAGACTGGTCTCAAATTTGTGGTTCTTCTGCTTCACCCTCCCAAGTACTTGGGATTTCAGGTAGGTACCCCTATGCTAGGCTTAGTACTAGTTTTTAAATACAGTAGTTAATATGGCTGTATTTTGTGCATGTTATTTATTGCATGTATCTACCCATTTTTAGTAAGTATATTGCTTCTCATGGATCCCTGCATTGTAAGTATATATTCAGATTGTTAGATGCTTATAACATTGTTTTCTAATATGGAACCACACCAAGAATGTGTCTACGTTTTTTAATAATAAATACTGAAGGAAACTATACAAGCATTCAGAGCTCATCTGAAGAGATTGCTCAGTGGTTAAGGGTGTTTATTGAGCAATCTTGAGGACTAAAGTTAAGATCCCAGCATACACACACACACACACACACACACACACACACACACACACACACTTACATGTATACACAAAAAACAAAACAAACAGGACCCTTTTCACACATTCATAAGGAGGATAGACAGAGGAGAATTTCTGGGACTTGCTTGCTTCCAACCTAGCTGAGAAAAGAATATAGAAGAGGACACTGTACAGTGACTTCTGCCCACCATGTACCTGACAGCATGTGTACATGCACATATAAATGCACGTACACTCACAGACAAATAGATTAACCTTTCAAAAGAAATCACCAAAATCAAACCATCAACATAAATGGAAGGTAACAGACATCGTATTGGAACTGAGCATGTTGATTTTGTGCAAATTCTCCTATGTATAGGAGCTAAGAAAGAAAGAAAGCAAGGCTGAGAATAGTCCTTTAGCAAATGCATACATTTAGAGGGAAGGAGAACAGAGAAGACATTTAAAAAACCTGACTTGGAGAAAAGTTTAGTTTCCTGCACAAAGGTGCAAGGACAAACCAACTTGTGACACAGAGTAAAGATCAGAATGTAAGATGTTAAGTTGCCTTGGATTTGACAATGAGGTGACATTGAAAGAAACAGCTGAAAAACCAAGTTAGTGAGGTGGAAGGAAAGAATGATGCAGTTCCAGGAAGACTGAGAGGCCAAAGAGGAAAGAGGACCTTGGAAACCTTAATCAGATGAAATGGAAGGTGCACTAAGAAGAATGACTGTTGCAGAATATTTATTTACACTGTAAAGATGTATCTCTGACTAAGGTGCCTTCTGATTGGTTTAAGAAAAAGCTGAAGAGCCAATAGCTAGGAAAGAGAGTATAGGAGGGACTTCCAGGCAGAGAGAGAACTCTAGGAAGAAGAAAGGCAGATTAGGCCAACAGACTCACAGCAAGTCAGACATGATGTACTGAGGAGAGGTAGCTGAGCCATATGGCAGAATGCAGATTAAAAAATATTGGTTATTTCATGTTGTAAGAGCTAGTTGGTAACAAGCATAAGCTAAGGCCTAGATTTCATAATACATATTAAGTCTCTGTGTTGTTATCAGGAAGCTGGCAGTCCCAAAACGGGAAGTCCAACATTTGTGAAAGCTTGCTACAAGTGACAAAATCACTCAAGTGGAAACATTTTAATGAAAAGACAGCTGAGAGAATGAGAAAATAAATTTCACCAGCTATACATTGCAGAGGGTTACTATCTAGAATAGACAAAGAATAACACCACCACAAACAACAACAAAACTAGCCATCAAGAAACAAAAATAAACAACAACAAAGCAATAAACAAACAGAAAACCCAATTTAAAAATGGAGCCTGGGCCGGGCAGTGGTGGCGCATGCCTTTAATCCCAGCACTCGGGAGGCAGAGCCAGGCGGATCTCTGTGAGTTCGAGGCCAGCCTGGGCTACCAAGTGAGTTCCAGGAAAAAGGTGCAAAAGCTACACAGAGAAACCCTGTCTCGAAAAACCAAAAAAAAAAAAAAAAAAAAAAAAAATGGAGCCTGGATCTGAACAGAGTTTTCCAAAGATGAAATTTGGAGAGCTGAGAAACATTTAAAAAAAATTTCATTCCTTTGCCATCAGGATGATGAAAATTAAAATTAATCTGATATGAAATTTTACCCCAATCAGAATGTCCTAGATAAAAAACAGAACAATAAAATAAGCCAAAACACATCAATAACGACAAAGAAATGATGAAAAATACTGATGTGGAAGTGGGAAGAAGGGCTGCTTATTCACTGCTGGTGGGAGTGAAAACTGCTAAAGTCACAGCAGAAATGAATGTGGAGGTGCTTAGGAAAGCTAGAAATAGATTTACCACCTATACCACTTGGATATATACCCAAAGACCTCCCTATCCTACTATTGAGGTCCTTGCTCATCCATGTTCACTGGACTACTACTCTATTCACAATAGCCAGGAAATGGAAACTGCTTTTGTATCCATCAACCAATGAATAGACAATTTGAATGCCTTGTATTTACATAGTGAAATATTATTCACATGCTAATAAAAATGAAATTTCCAGTAAATGGATAGAGCTGGAAACAATCATTCTGAGTGAGAGAACCCAGATCCAGAAAGACAAGCATTCTATGTTAGGTTTCATTTCTTGAATATTAGTTTGAAATCTTCAGACAACTGTGACCACTTTGGAATATCAATGGATATTAGAAAATTAGTAAGGGGTCATGAGATCTGCTTGCAATAGAGTGGAAAAATGAAATGGTATAAAGTCTTAAAGGGGAATAAGGCAGGATGGATTATGTAGCTGGAGTTTTCCTGCCTGGCCCACAGTCAGGACAAATCTCTCTCACCTGCCAGTCCCACAGCCGTCAGACCCAACCAAGTAAACACAGAGACTTATATTGGTTACAAACTGTATGGCCGTGGCAGGCTTCTTGCTAACTGTTCTTTCAGCTTAAATTAATCCATTTCTATTAGTCTATACCTTGCCACATGGCTCGTGGCTTACCGGCATCTTCACATGCTGTTTGTCATCATGGCGGCTGGCAGTGTCCCTCTCAGCCTTCCACTTCCCAGCTTTATTCTCCTCCTTGTCCCGCCTACACTTCCTGCCTAGCCAATGGCCAATCAGTGTTTTACTTATTGACTAATCAGCAACACATTTGCCATACAGAACATCCCACAGCACTTCCCCCTTTTTTTTTCTCAAAAAGGAAGGTTTTAACCTTAACAAAGTAAAATTACATATAATTTGGGAATTTGGGCGTAGCAGGATTATAGGGAGGAACAAATACATTGACGATTTTTTTAGTAAGTCATAAGACAGCTTACTATATAATCTTAATATACATGTATATGTATGTATTTATATATATATTATCATATAAAAATAATAAAAAGAGAGTTACCCTACAATAAGGTGACAATGCCACTATAGACACTGAACACTAACAAATAAATATCCCAATGCCAGGACTGAGTTACCTCTTTGAGAGTTGCTGGCCAGTAACTTAATTGGCCCCCAAACATAGGCTCTTGCAATGCTATTGGTCACCTTCCAGAACTTGATAATAAGACTCTATTGCTGAAAATACTTTGTCATAGAAAATAGAGAAATGCAGCTGGTACTAACATGGAAACTTTATTTCTACTGACGAGTTTTCATGATGCTGGAAAGTGGCATGCACACTTCCAGAGGAGAAAAGTAACCATCAACAACTGGTGAACTCTGTGAGCTACAGTAACTAACAGCCTAGGAAAACATTCCTACTGCTGCAAGAGGTAGATAAATGTCATAATGGTAATCACCTACTTTTTGATTGGATTTTTGTTCTTCTCCACCTACGTAGTTACCATTGGAGAGACCAAGAACCTTTGGCTAGATGAGTCATAGATCCTAAGAGAGAACCTAGTACTTTTATTCTGTTAAGTGGATACAGTATCGGATGGACTTCTAATGAATTATGGTTAGATCCCTAGATCAATGCATCTCTCAACTCTCATTGAAGAAGCTTCTATTTGCAGTAGGTGGTGACTAACATAAAGACTCCTAACTGGTCCAGGTGTAGAGCAAGAGACTACAGACTTCTCAGTCCTAAATGGGACATACCTGAGAAGAGGGAACCCCAGATGAAGAATTGCTCTATCATGTAGGTGTAGGTCTAGCTTTTTATGGAACTTCCACACTCATTTCCTTATTAGCTTCAGTAATTTGCACTTCCACCAGTAGAGAATACGTGTTCCTCTTCCTCCACATCTGGATCAGCATCCATGCCTTGAGGCATTTTCTTAACTGTTAATTGGTATAGAAGGGCCCAGCCCACTGTGGGTTGTACCATCCCTGGGTAGGTGGGTTTGGCATGTAAAAGTAAGTAGATGAGCAAGCCAGAGGGAGCAAGCCAGTAAGCAGCATTCCTGCACAGACTATTTCAGTTCCTGCCCTGAGCTCCTGCCCTTGCATCTCTCTGTGATGATTGTTAACTTCACGTCCTAATTTGTGCCTTCACTTTCTACTGCTTTCAGCAGTCCGCCCTGTTTGGCATTTGGGCCAGGCTAATTCTTCACTGGGGTGGAATACACCGTGTGCATTCGGGTATACCTTATAAAGTGATGTTGGTGTGTACCTGTTGTTAATGGCAGGACTTTAGGTGTGGTAGTATTGTGTTCCCCAAAATATCATGTACCCTAATAAACTTCTCTGGGGTCAGAGAACAGAAAAGCCACTAGATACTTAGGATAGGCAGTGGTAGCACACGCCTTTAATCCTAGCATTCCAGAGGCAGAAATCCATCTGCTCAAGGATACAGCCAAGCATGGTGACTCACGCCTTTAATCCCAGAAAGCAAGCCTTTAATCCCAGGGAGTGGTGGTAGAAAGCAGAAAGGTATATAAGGCATGAGGACCAGAAACTAGAAGCATTTGGCTAGTTAAGCATTGGACTGGTTAAGCTTTCAGGCTTCTAGCAGCAGTTAAGCTGAGACCCATTCTGGATGAGGACTCAGAGGCCTCTAGTCTGAGGAAACAAGACCAGCTGAGAAGTTGGCCAGGTGAGGTTAGATGTGGCTTGTTCTGTCTCTCTGATCTTCCAGTGTTGACCCCAATAACTGGCCTCAGGTTTGATTTTATTAATAAGACCTGTTAAGATTTCTGCTACAAAATACCTTTGCCCTCTACTCACTAGCACTCTTCCCCTTAGTCACGACAATCAAAAATGTCTTTAGACTATGAGAAATATTCCTAGGTTAAATTATGTCCGTGTTTCTCCTACCTGACCAATGAATGATAAGGCCATATGGTTCACAAAATCATTACTGGAAAGAATAAGTAATCACCACCAGGCTATTGATTGTGTCATGTATAGTCCTAAAGAAAGCATCGGAGACAACCAGCTGAAGTTTTGCTAATTGTGCTAAAATCATGCCTATTGATGGTGAGTATACATGTGAGACACTATGTCTCTGAGGGAAGAAAAGTGCTAAATTTATCTAGGGCTTGGGGAAATACAATATTCCAGAAATAGAAGATTCCCGAAGCTCTGTTCTTACCGTGGACTGTGTGGCTGCTTTTAGAGAGGTGAGGTTACTGTGGTGAATTTGTACTAATCATTCAGAACTGCTTTGCAATGATTTTTTCTGGGTTGCTAGTCCAATCTAAAGAATAACCAGTTATTTCCAAGCAGCGAATGAAAACAAAAATTTTAACAGTATTATGTCCTAAGGTTTATGAAGAAAATTCAAAGGACTGAACAAGTATCTCACTCCACAATGTTCATGGCTCTAAAGATAGTACCTCTGCAGATGGAGGACATGCTGCTTCCCACAGTTGCTCCTGCTTGGTAAGTTTTAGATGAATATAAAAGTTTTACATGAAATAATCATGATCTGATCATCTCAATGGTCTAAATTCTATGTGAACCCCATTCTTAAGTCCATCCTAATGCAAGCCAGGGTTATGTGAGGCAAGAAAAAATGAATGAAATAAAGGTTCTTTTTCCCTGTTTTCTTCTTTGATGTTGACAGGTTTATCTCATTGCAGTTTTATCTTGTGTGTTTTGAAATTATCAAGTGGAAAGAATGTTTTGTTTCTGACTCCCTGGCTTAAAGTGCCTGCTTGGGTATTCGCATCTCATTTTCATGATAAAGACTATTTTCCTTTTTAGGGAGATGGTTGTTAATGGTCCAGATGGAGTCAGAGGCCCGTAAAACTCTCTCTTGAGTAAGGAGCGGAAAAGGTTTTCAGGAGGGACTCTTCTCAGACGAATGTGATCAGCAATCTTCCGACTTTGCTGACATTTTTCTAAACATGACCCTTGGCGGCACCAGAATCAGTACCACCTGGAAACATGTCAGAAATATGAACGTTCAGTTGCTTCCTCTTTAGTAATAGTAACCACCCCGCTCTGACTCAGGAAAGGTCCTGTCCAGATGAATATGATATATGATGAAAGCTATAGATAACAAGGTTTGTTGTTTTCCTCTCCTCATTGTTGGGTACTTTATTAATCATTCTAAGTCAGGAAAATAAAATAAAGTTCACATAAAGCAGCTGGGGAGATGGCTCAGCTGCTAAAATGCTAGCATGGGAACCTGAGTTTGAGTCTTAGAATCCATATTTTAAAAAACTAAAAAGAAAAGAAAAAGAAAAAAAAAGATGGGCTTTGTGGAGTGTGTTGGTTTATTTCAGCACGGGGGAGGTGAATACAGGAGGATTCTTGGGCTGGATAACTGATTAGCCTGACCTACTTGATGAAGTTCAGACCAGACAGAGGCTCCGTTGCAAGAGGAAGGTGTGTGGTACCTAAGGAAAAAACACTTGAGATTTTCTTCTGCTTTACATGCACGCACACACACACACTCACATACACACACACACACACGTGCACACACAAAAGCACACAAACACAAGAACTCAGGAACACACAAATGCTGTGCCTCTCTCTTCCCTATATCCTCACCTTGCCAGTATTGTGGTCCTTTGCTGTGAATAGACAACTTTGGACCAGTTGAATAGCACTTACTTATGTGAGCAGTGTACCTTATACCAGGCGTCCCCTACTTACTGCTAGGCACATTGCTGGGAGAGCACGACTGGAAGTGAGAAACAGCTGTGTCTTTACTCTTACCTTCTCTCTCTGGAGGCCACTGTCAAGGGATGACAGAGAAGCACCAGATGGACATGAATTCTGGTGTATTGCCATTGTTATTTAGCCTTGTCATGCAATGCCACCAGTGAATGGTAAGGGTTTGTTAGAGATTTTATCACAAATAAAACTCAACTTGTTTCTAACTTCATGTTTCTAAGTTTATTCATAGTTCCAGGAAGTTTTTATTCTCAACACATCATCTAATTTCTCTCTTCTGTGGTGTGTGTGAGGGTGGAGGTGGTGGGGGTTATCATTCACATGCTTGCCTCAAAGAGAGTAACAGTCTAAAAAAGCGTAATTCAAATCAAGCCCAAGTGTGAGAACCAGCCAGTGGGAAAGGCATTGTGGTCAGACAGTGACCTGGTGATCATCACAGATAGGTCCCCTGTGGCAAACACTGGCTATACAGCAGCAGACACCACATTGGTTCTGCTTTCTGGTAAGACTTTGTCACTGTTAAGGTGGAGACTGGTTCTGAGAACAGCCTACAGGTGAACTCTAATATTGAGGATAGTTGAGAAGAAATAGTTCATGTTAGATCCTGTCTTGTTGAGACAATCAATTCTACTGTCTCTATCTGGTTTTTGTCTTTCTCTCTTTAAGAATTAAGTGGGCAGACAGTCAAGGGAGTACAAATGAGGAGAACTTTATTAATTCAGGATTAACAACTTGAAGTGGGAAAACCATGTTGACACATGAGTCACAGTGAGATTTGAACTCTTGGTAGCAGAGGGATCCAAAGTGAGTGCCATTAGGAGTGTTAATGGCTCTGAGAAATGGGGTGTTATAGCTCCCACGGGCCTCTGCAGCTGCTCTTCTCAAAGCCCTGCGACACAGGTCTTGTAAGCAGTAGGACCTGAGGAACAGCTGCAGGAATGAATTCCCATCTGAAGTCAAAGTGTAGAATCGTGGAGGCTGAGGTGGAAATGAGTCTATCTGCTTCCAGATGGAGGCCAAATCCAAAGCTGGATGGACAGTGGGCGTCAGAGGGAGTTTCCTGTCTAAAAGAAGCCCCAGGCATGAAAAGCCAGATAGTCTATCTAGTGAGTCTTCTAGGCAGCCTTCCTTCTCTTCCTCTTCCAAGGAGTAATGGAAGGAGTCTGTCTGTCTAGACCTCACATGCTTTAGTATCTAAAGCCTGGTAGGCCCCGATTTGTTAAATGTGTGTGTAGGTAAATAAGGTGTAGAATGGGGCTAATCAGGATACAGTTCTCAAAACTGGAGTGGATGGGGAAAAATGCTTTTGGTGAGCTCAGGTTGGAAGCCGGCTTCAACCACAGTAGTGCTGGGGAAATGGGTACTGACACAGGACAGTTTATGCCCAGGCGCATCAGTCAGTTTCCGGATGCTACCATGATCATAGCCTGCGGGTGTCTAGCTGCTGTTGGGGTGGGCTCTGGTATGTGATAGCATTCAGTTGTCCTTGTTCTCCGATGGGCTCTGTGATTCTCAGGTCGGTTTCTATCCAGCTTGGGTTTTTTTGTGATCTGTTTTTCTTAGCTGCTGCTTCATTGAGAGCTGGCACCACCCACTGGGTCATGACAGTGGACTGTCTGCCTACTGCATAGGCTCCTTACTCTCAGGTTCTTAGCTCCTGGATGTTAAAAAGTTCTGAATCTGCCCCCACCCCTCCCCCGCACCATCACCAAGGCCTCCAAAGCCCAGTCATTAGTATTCTTTTTTCTTTGGACTCTCTTCTGATCCAAGCATTTTATACCTCATAATTATTTAGCACATTTGTTGATTTTTCTCATGTTGCCATTTCAGGTTAGTTGCTGTAAGAAAACACCATCCAAGGAGATGTTTTAAGGACAGAAATGTCCATCTCACAGTTACAGAGGTTGGAGCATGGGAGAGTGATGTGCTGGCAAATTCAGTTCCCTGGTGAGAGCTCTCTTCTGGCCTGAAGGCCATCTCCCCCTAGCAGAGTGCTTATGTGGGGTGTGGAGAGGCAGCAAGCATGGTGACTCACCCTAAGCAAGGCAAATGCTCTACCAGTCAGCTACAACACCCTCCAGGTCTGTGCCTTCAGGACTTGATGTCACAGCTAAGACTCAAGCCGATACCTGGAAAGTCACTGACTATATCTAAAGAAATCTATCATTATAAAAATTCACTCATTCACAATCTCAGTTTGCCTGGAAAAGCACCCACTACCTTAAGGTCAATCAATGAACAGCATTGCCTCATGAGGCCAGGTATCAGACTTATCAGTAAATGACTGATTACTTTTTAGGACAATCTGTTCACAAACCTGCTTAGCTATAGGGTAGGATGCAGTAAATACAAGCGTTGATTGGGATGTGTGGGCCAACTCACACAAAACAGAAGGAAAAACAAGTCTGTGGAGAACATTTTGTGCAAAAGAATATTCATTCCTCTTTCGACCTGCTTTTCCTTTTCAGGAGGAAAACAAACTTCGTGTTCCAGCTCATTGATGAAGAGACTTGACTTCCTGTTGAAACATAAGCTATGCATCTCTAGACAAAAGTCATTGATATCCTGCCAGATTAATGCACAATTTCATGGTTTTCCCAAAGGGACTTTCTACATATTTTCATCATCACAGAAGCCCTCCTGAGATGTGGTGAGCTCTGTTTCCCCCACAGAGCTGGTGCGGCATGTCGTCTGGCAGCATTTCTGAATGCTGCCACCCACACAGCTCGATGCCAAGTTGTTTTCCTCAATAGACCAAGACTAGTGATTTATAGCAACAGTCACATCCAAGTTCCTTCTGGAATTGTCAGCTGCAGATCTTAATGTTATGCGTTATTTTCCTTTCTCTTCAAGCATTTTATTTCAAAATGAACTTAGATTTCTGATTTATAGAGGACTTGAAGGCTTCCTATCAAGTTAAAATATTATGCTACCATGGTACAATTATTAAAATTAAGATATTAATACCAGGACACTGTTATTAACTGAAATCCAAATCTGTTTCTTTGATTGAATGAGTCAGCATTCTATTACTATAGTGAAATATGGTGATATTTTATTTGTACTGAAATGTGATTTTATTTGTATGTTAATAAATAAAGTTGCCCAGGAGGTCAGCGCTATTAGAGCCATAGCAAAAGCTGAGTAGTGGTGGTGCACGCCTTTAATCCCAACACTTGGTAGGCAGAACTAGGTAGATCTCTGTGTGTTCAAGGACACAGCCAGCATTGGAGACACACACCTTCAATCTCAATACCAACCATAGAAGACCTGGAGGTCTGTACAGACAGGCAGTGATGAGGCAGTCATGTGGTTGGGTTTACAACCAATGAGAAGGCAGAACAGGAAGTCTATATAAAGACAAACAGACAGGAAGTAGGTATCTTTCGGAGAGGTCTCTTGCAGAGAGGTAGGACAGCAGCGGCAGGAAGGGTAAGGTTTTTAATCTCAGCTCTTAGCTATCGCTCTGACCTCTTGGCTTTCATCTCTGAATTGGCTCTGTGTTTCTTATTTAATAAGATGGTTGGTTACATCTACAGTGAAATACCTGCGGTCATAAACTTTATAGACATTAAAGGTCCGTTTCGCCTATGCTTCTGGTGATTGTAAACCAAGATCAAATGGCACCTTTTGCTGTAGGCATTTGGTGGGTGCGATGCATCCCAGTAAGAACACATGATGAAAGCACATGCATCATCAGGGATAAGCAATGAGGGCTGTGAGACCAGTCTATCAGACCTCTTACAGGGTCAGTAACATAAGGACCTTCGTGTGTCCTAGCCTGATAAAAGTTCACCTGTCTCTTGATACCACTGCCTCAGGGCCCAAGTCTTTGACACATGGATGCTTTGAGATACACATTTAAACCATAGAAACTTGTTGTTTTCAATTTTCTTGTACTCTTTCTATTCCAGAACCAGGTCTAGGCCTCCATTTTGTAATCCACTATCTTATCTCTTTATTCTCCAGCTTAGCTCAGTGTCTCTAAGTCTTTCCATGACATTGATGACACAGACAGAGATTTCTTCTATATTTAAACCTCTGTACAAATGGTCCTTTTTACACAGTATTGCTGCCTTATAACCCTTTATTATAATATATGTGTGTGTGTGTGTGTGTGTGTGTGTGTGTGTACATCTACATCTATATGTTCAGTAGTTCTATTCTTGTCACAAAAAGTGACTATGGAGATTATACGTGACAAATTTCTCTTCTATAGAAATATGTTTACTATCAGTATGTATTCTATAATATTGTATTATGAAACTCAAATACATATAACATATATCTTTAAATTTCTTTTAAAGATAAAACTATATGTACCTAAGCAACTTCTGCTCCTATCCTCCTCTTCCTTCTCTTTTCCCTCCTTCCCTTCCTCTCTCTTTCTCTTTCTTTTCTGATTCTTACTTTCATGGAGGAACAAAATATTTATTGAGTTAAACAAATGAAACTACTAAGCAGGCCCCGTCCGGTGGTGTTACTGGTTTTCAGCCAGCTTCCACACTCCTGGTGTCACCTAAACCCATTCCTATAGATTCATCTCAAGCATTATTAAACATGTGGAATAATCTTTTGGTTGTATGAACTTATCACTTGATAACTGTATAGAAGGTTCCATGATCATTTGCCTAAAGTACAAATTCCTTAGCAAGATAGTGAGTGTTCCTTCTAGAAACAGCTCCTGCTTTCTCTAAACACCATCTCTGGCTGGTTTTGACCACATATATGTCAAGCCCTCTATAGGAAGCTGCCTCCGCCAATACCTATGTGAGGAAGTCTGGAAGCAGGACACTTCCCATTAAAGCTGGGGATAATTGAAGTTGTGGTCCGTGGTTTGTAGGTAGTTTATGAATTGCCCTGGGTCAGACAGCTGTATGCTTATGCTCCCCACTTAACAGTAGTGGCTGTTGGTGACTAAGACCTACTAAGTCTGAAGACATTTTTAATAATAACATATGTTCCACCCAACTGTATGACCTAAAACATCCCACACTGACAAATTCTCTTATAAATTGCTGCTCAGGTATTTAGTGAGCCAATTAAAAATTATTTAATGTATCCAGGATCTTACCCAATATCAGGCTACATACTGGGATCAAGGACACTAAAATATATGATATGAAGAACAAACACTGAGTATTGGTGATAATAATTTTGGTTAGTAGCAATGTGGTGTGTGCTATAGTTGAACAATATATATATATATATATATATATATATATATTATATATATATATATATATATATATATATATATATTTCTGGGGATTTAGAGAGAAGTGTGTTTAAATTGGGTGTGAAGTTTGAAGTAGATCTGATAAGTTACTAGAGTCCATCTTATTGGAAAGGTTGCAATGGGATAAATAAAAAGACAAGAGTGAGTTCTGGGGTCCTTACGGTGCTTGGGAATGGCCAGTGTGCCGGCAAGGGTGAGGCTGCATAAGGTAGAAGCAGAAGTGAAAGAAGAGAGCATCCATGCTTTTCCAGCCTAGTTCGAATCCCGCTGTTTACCTAAACCTGCTATTCCTGCCTCACAAACTCCTTCCCTTGTTACTGTTGTCTCACACAATTCTGTAAGTATTGTCTCAGCCCACGCTTTGGGATGGCAATCTGTATCTGTTCTTCTGTTTTACACATAGAGCATTGTTGAGCATATGAAGGAAGAATAGATTGAATAAAGGGAAGGGTTTAAGGTCAATAGAGTGGTTTCTATGAGAAATGTTCCCCTTAAGCTTATATATTTTAAGCATAGTCTCCCATTGATGGCACTGTTTGGGGAGGTTATGGAACCTTTAGGAGGTGGAGCATTGCTGCAGGAAGTATATCACTGGGGGAGGGGTTTGAAGGCTTGTAGTCTGTCCCACTTCCTGTTCCCCTACTTTGCTTCCTGCAAATGATGAAATAGGATCAGCCAGTTTGTCTTTTCCACATGATAGATTCTATCCCTCTGAAACTGTAAGCCAAGATAAACTCCTTTTTCCTTAGATTGCTTTTGTTCTACAACAGAAAAGTGCCTAATACAATCAGATAGCCCAGGAAGTCCACAGTGAGTGGCAATCCTTGCTGCTATCACTAAGCATTAAGTGCATGGGCAATACCCTGAAAGACATGAGAGCCCTTGCCTTTTTGATGAGAATCATTGCTTGACCAGAGCTTCATAGGTAAGTATGACACAATGAAAGATTAGGAAACGGGAAGAAGTATAGTTACCATCTTCTGGAATACATAGCACAAAAATCTGTAAACCCAAATGTATACAAGGCAGATCATACAAATGAGTTACGGCCTACCTATAAAGGCAAACACAGCCACGGGGATCATTTCAAGCTGGATATAATTTAGACACAGAGGGCACATCTGATTGACTCCAGCTGATCACTGACCATAGAAAAGTGATCCCCTATTCCCAGGTACTCTGGTTATTTTGGAGTTCAGACTTTAGTGAAACAGGATTTTCTAAATATTGGCTTAATTTCATAATGCTGTGAAAGGACAAAACAAAATAGTCCTGTGACCTCACTAAGCCTCTTACCTTGAAGTCATGGTCTCTGTGGCAAGATCGTTTGTATCTTTTCTATCAGGCTACAAGCTCTGTGCTATTACTTATACAGAAGAATCTGGCTGGGAGATTAAAGAGGGATCAAGTTTGATATGAAATAGAATAATGGAGTCTGGATATGGAGGCAAAACCCCATCTCTAGTGAGTGGGTTCAGAAAGATGCTGTAGGGCTTCTGTCTGAACCCTCTTGTTCTACATGAATTCCATATCTCTAATTAAAAGACAGAAGCTGTTCTTCAGTTTACGCAGAGATGAGACTGGGCATGTGGTTGCTAGGGGCAAAACGTCTGAAATTACCAAAAAGATGTGAATAAGGATACAAAGCTGATAAAACTACAACTTTTAGCTACTGCAGTCTTCCATGACAATCTAGAGGTATAGATAAAATCCAGTCAAATACAAGTCACTCAATATCTACTTACTATCTACCATGTGTGATTAAGTCATTTATAAAATACTTCAAACTTGTAAAAGCCAATGGTCCCAATCCATTTCATTTTGTCGTCATAGTAACCACTGTAATATTTCTTATGTAGTTACCAGCTAGCAGGAAGTGTGGTGGATTCTCTGCATACATGGGACCAGTAGTTTCTCCCTCTCATAGCCTTCCAGATATGGGTTTCTACATGCCTAAGCCCACACAACTACTACTTTATGAAATTAGATACTAAAGCCAGACTGGTCTGATTACACAGTGGGTGACCTTCTATGTAAACTTTCATGAGATTTGACTATGACAAGATTAAGATTTTTCTCTGAGTGTGAGTTTTGAAAATAATAATAATAATAAAAGAGTAAAGCATATGATAGGTCACTGACACGCAGAAAGCTGTAAATTTGTATGACGATTGACAAACACGAACAGAAACCATGGGCTTTTCTCTTAATATATATGGCTATTATTTTCACAATTACACACAGATGAAATTTTAAAAGGAATGGTCTTTGGCTGATTACCTTTGTTGTAATTTTTGCTTCCATCTTCGAGTGTCCATGTTAACCTAGCAATGTCATCCTATAGAATTATTTTGTGTCACCCTGTGAGTCCAGCACTTTACCCATTTACTTTTAAAATAAAAACTGACACTCACAGCTCAGAGTATATTCAGAAATAGTAAAACCACAGGGAGGACCATTACAGAAAAGGAAAGCTTTGTCCTAACACAATTTCACCTGCTAATTTGTATTCTTTGACTCTCTAGGAAAGGACTAGAAAATAGAGACAGACAAAACAGTTACAGAGTGGATATAAGAAGGAATCCAGCCGGGCAGAAAGTTGTCACATAGACATGCAGAGAACACCTTCCACAAGTCAAACAAAAGCCTGCTCTGAGCCCAGGAATCACAAAACTAGAATTGAAGAGGAGACCACACAGACAGAAAGCGCTCAAGTGAAAGCTGTAGGGCTCTCATTCATGTCCCTCCAAAAGAGTTGATAACCAAAATGGGTAGGCAAAGAAATTTGCCTGTTCATGCTCACACAGGTCAGGAGGAAAGCTAACCTCCTGCTGTTCGTCCTCTTTGTCCTATTTTTAGAGAGAAAAATAGA